TGGGAAAAGATCCATGACATGTTTGAGGTATGTCATCACGCCTTTGTCCCTTGCAGTGAAGTTTCCATTGACTTGGCTTACCATTAGCTAGGAGTCGCAACTAATGAGGAGCATCTTTACTTACATCTTCTTAACCTATCTGAGGGCAGGCTGCCTCATATTTATAACATTCTTGGAGGCAATCTAAATCTCACCACACAATTGAGTTAATAGCCTTTTGAAGCAGCCGTTTGAGTGGAAAATTAATTAGCTCATGTATGCTATGGGTCTGAAAGTATGGCCTCAACTTTCTGAAAGCGGTGACAAGGGAGAATGAGAGCTTATCCATATTTAGGTAATAGGCCTTTAGTTGTAGGAAAGCTTTTTTTACATAGTAGATAGGCAATTGTAGATTGCCTTCTTCTCTCATAAAAACTGAGTTGATGGCCTTTTCAGATACAGCCATATAAAATAATCGGGGCTCATCAACCTTTGGTTTGGAGAGGATGGTGCTTCTTCAGCTCTTGGAAAGCCTCTTCACTCTGCTCTATCCACTTGAACTTCTTTTTTCCTTTGAGAATTTTGAAGAGTGAAGGCATTTATTAGTGGTTTTTGAGATGAAGTGACTCAGGGCTATCACTCGCCTAGTAAGGCTCTGCACTTTTGGTTTTTTTTTTTGGAAACCTCATCTCTATTTCTACCTTGATCTTTACAGGGTTGGCCTCAATACCTCTTTGATTAACCATGTAACTTAGGAACTTTTCAAAAGCGATATCAAATGCGTACTTAAGGAAGTTTAACCACATCATGCACCTTCTTAGAATTTGGAAAGTAGCATCTAAGTGCTTGACATGGTCCTTCATCTTTAGACAATTTACTAGCATGTCATCTACATATACCTCTATGGTTTTGTCAAGGAGGTTAGCAAACATCTTGTTGACGAACCATTGATAGGTGACACCGACATTTTTAACTCGAATAGCATCACCTTATAGTAATAAGGACCTATACAATGATGAAAGAGGTGTTCTCCTCATCTGCGGGATGCATGGGGATCTGATTGTAACTTGAAAAAGCATCCACGAAGCTTAACAACTTATGTCTCACGGTGGAATCCACAAGTTGGCCCATCCTGGAAGGAAAAAATTGTCATTTGGTCAAGCTTGGTTGAAGTTGAAGAAGTCTATGTAAACCATCAATTTACCATTGTATTTTTTTACAATAACAAGATTAGATATGCAATTAAGATATGTGGCTTCTTTGATGAAGCTATTGGTTATCAACTTTTCCACCTCTTCCTTTAGGGCCTCATACCTCTCCGGGCTGAGAGTTCTTCTCTTTTGTCTATCAAGGCAACTTTAGGATCATTCTTGAGATGGTGTCAAATGAACTTGGGATTAGTCTACAATGTCCTCATGACTCTAAACAAAGACATACATATTCTTACATAAGAAGCTTTTGAGCTTCTCCTTAGCTTCTAGACTTATAGTACTTTGGTAGGATCTTGAGGGTCTACCAGAAAGCTCTCTAGTTCTTTTCCTTGTTCAAGGGTCTATCTTTCTTTAGGTGTATCAAGCATTTTGGTATCAAGCAACACCATGTTATCTAGGTGGATTCTCCTATGGATGGCAATTTTCTCTCCTATGCTCATGGAGAATTATTTTGCTTCGTAGGTTACGTTACATCTCTACACTCATCAGTATCATAAACATGAACTCAATGGAAAGTGCAACAGGGCCGCTCACTATAATGGGTCCTGTTTCTAGGTACGTTGTCTATTCATCTACGTCTTTTTGGTAGATGGTTCTCTTTGGGATAGCTATTGGCCCTACATAGGTTAAGTTTGGTATGACGTTCAAGGTTACTGTGGCTAAGGCGTTCCAAAGTAAAAGCAATTATATGCCCAGTTTGAGTTCACTATTACGATGATCAATCATCCCTCCAAAATAGGATGTTCATATTGAGGCCCTTCATTTAGGGCAGAGAGAGCTTCTCTATTAGTGACATTTTCATAATAGGTCATTTACTCCCTTCATATATAGGAATCTTTGGAGATACAAAGTGGCTGGGCATACGTGCACTTTGGAGCTCCTAGAAGAAGGAGAGTTTACCATCATCATCATCTAGCTCATAGGACTTACATGGTCTATCGGAGTCTTTCAGGTCTACCTAGTATCGAGGTAGTTGGAAAGGCCCAATTGATCCCTTATGGCCTCATCTGTCCTCTTATGCCTATTTCTAAATGGGAGAACATCTTGTGTCCCTATGGCTTTGCACATACTTATGTGGCCTCCTAATGGAAAGTGGTTGAGGTGACCTATTTCTAGGCCTCAATGGTGGCTGAGGTAACCTATTTTTAGGTTCCATCAGGTTGATCCTACTGAAGACAATGGGGGATCTATGAGATCTATGCTCTTGTTCGTATTTGGGAGAAAAGTTATATTATCTATTGAACAGGTTGTTCGAGGGTCAGTATAATGCATAACTTGTTGATACATCCACTCCTGCTTCTCTTTCATGGGGGTTGACATCTCTCTTATGCCTGTGTGATCTCTTTGACTTTAGACTTCTTCTTCTTCTTGGTAGAAGAAGCCTAGTTGGGGTATATATTGGGGGCATTTGAAGACCCACATACCTTGCATTTGGAAGAGGAGCTCTTGCATAAGGGCATTTTGTTGGGTGATGCTACTCATATTGGTGGCCATACCACCATTTTCTTGTAAGGTGTGCAACAACCCTTCCACCTCAACAACGTTGGTGGTAAGGTCGATGAATGACATTAGTCCAGAAGACCTTTTCTTTAGAGACCTCTCTTGCTCTCCTTGGATTTGCGTCTTCGTCACTAGCACTTATTTTGAATGGACGCCTCTTCTCTTCAAAGGGGGTCTTTTAAGTTGATTTTTATCTCAAAATACTCATTTTTAAAGAATATATACACCTGAATAATACATCAAATCTTATTTCTTTAAAGTTTCTACTTGTTCTTTATCCAAGAAAAAAACCTTTCTTTAAAGGGAAAGTTGAAACACTTTTTTTGATAAGCATTTTCCACGAAGTTACTCGTGATTGATAGTGTGGTTTCCCATCGATGGCATCAATTTGTTGATCTCAATTTTTGTAGTGGTCACATGGTCAACATATTCGGTTCCTCTCACATCCATGTAAACATTGTTCTTGCACATTTGGACAAATTGTAAGTTCAACATGCCCTTCTTCAAATGTGGAGGAGGATTGAGAGAAAAGTTATAGCTTTGAGATTCTAAACTTGTATTACCTTCAAATGACACTAAGCCCATGTTTGACACACATTTTCTAAAAATATATTCTTTCAAAACTCATTTTCAGAACACATTCTTCAATATAATAATATTTTTTATCGCATCAATAATTTTTCCTTACTTTTTAACCACATATTTCTTATCATGTCTCTATTTAAAATACATTTTTCCTTAAAAATATCCATCAATTACACTCTAAATGTGAGTTTTTATATTAGTAAAGGAGAAATGATAATCGTTGGATGAAGTGACACGTGACCTCATCTTGATGGGCGAGGTCTTCTCCTATGTGTCACTCCATCTAACTAGGCTGACATGCATTTAATACTTCTGACAAGTAGTCACTCTAAAGTCATTCCCATTTTATAAAAAGGTGGCTCAAACACGGCCTAAGTAGGGTTTGTTTAGTTGAAAATTGAAACTCTAAAAAATATTATAATTCTTATATTTCGAAAACTTGAAAATTTTATAATTGACTAATGATACGAATTATTATATAAATATAGTATTTTATAATTTTAGATCTTTGATATGTATTATTTTAATTATTAAATGATTTTAAAAATAATTAAAAATTAAAATAATATTAAAAATAAGAAAACGTTTTTTTGTGCCTAAACTTGCTTAAACTCGTAAAGCTTGAAGTTTCCACTCCACGCTTAATCATGTTTTACGCTTTTTAGAAAACTGAGCATAACAAGTATGACCAATCGTGTTTCTAAAAAATAAAATAATAATAAATGAAATGTGAATTGTCTTTTGGCATTCCCCATAAAAATAGTATTGGAGTTAACAAGTATGACCAATCGTATTTCTAAAAAAGAAAAAAAATAATAAATGAAAAAAAAAACGAAATGTGAATTGTCTTTTGGCTTTCAACGTGAAAATAGTATCGGAGTTACAGTTGGATAGGCTAACTTTTCAATCTCAACATAAATGCTAATTGCAAGAAAGAAACCTGCAATGAAAAGGGGGGATAGCGGGGGAAATAAAGAAAAAGATTTGAAATGAAATTTACCCCTCAAATATTCAAAAGGACAGTGCACCAAATACGCGGAAATCTTATATCTCAGCACACTACTGCTCAATACTCTCCACCAGTATCAGATTATCAGTATTTTACAATAGAGCGAATGTAATTGTTCATTCATTCAAGAAACCCTCAGATCTTCCCAATTTTTCTCTACAATTTTTTATTCTCATTGTTGTGCTATTACTCGATTATATCCATTTCCCACCCTAAATACTCCTTCCTTTTCTCATTGCACAAGGTCTATATATTTTCGATTCAAGGGAGAAAAAAAGAATAAGGATAAACGGAGAGTCAGAGACTGATTCTTGGAACAAAGGTAATATCTTTTTAGCAAAAATATGCTTCCAGTTTTCCATTTTTCAGTTTTAGTGTAGTTTCAAGATTTTACTCATCTGAGGTCCATTTCTTGGATCCTGAAAAACGACCCTTGTTGCCGATTTTCTGACTTGTTCTTAGGCACTACCTAATTGTTATACTGGAGTTAAATTGAGTTTGGTATGTTTCCTTATTTCCATTCCAATAATATGATTTCTTTTAAGGTTTTCAAATGTATACCCAATGTAATCTTTAGTAGTCTGGTGTGATGATTTCAGTTTATTGACTAATTTTCACAGAGATTTGGATTACAAATTATGGGAAGGAGTCTAAGCCCAATTCTTCGGAAGGAGTTAGAGAATCTCGACAAGGATGCTGACAGTAGAAGATCAGCCATGAAAGCGTTGAAATCATTTGTGAAAGACTTGGATTCCAAAGCAATACCTCTGTTTCTTGCTCATGTTTCTGAAACTAAAGAAAATGGGACATCGTCTGGCGAGTATACAATTTCACTGTACGAAGTTCTTGCTCGTGTCCATGGACCCAATATAGTCCCTCAAATAGATAACATCATGACTACTATTATCAAGACATTGTCATCAAGTGCAGGATCCTTTGCTCTTCACCAAGCTTGCTCAAAGGTTGTTCCAGCCATTGCAAGGTATGCAATGGACCCAACAACAGCAGAGGACAAGAAGAGATACATCATCCACTCTCTGTGTAAACCCCTATCGAATTGTCTTTTGGGTAGCCAAGAGAATCTATCTTCTGGAGCTGCTCTTTGCTTACAGGCACTTGTGGAATCTGATAATTGGCGATTTGCTTCAAATGAGATGGTGAATGAGGTCTGTCAGAGAGTTGCGGGGGCTTTGGAAAAACATACACAGGCCAATTCACATATGGCCTTAGCGACAGCTTTGGCCAAACACAATAGCTTGACTGTCGAAGCTTATTCAAGACTGTTGATAATGTCAGGATTGCAAATCCTGAATTCTGGTTTTGTAGAGGGAAACTCTCAAAAACAGTTCTCAGCCATTCATATGGTGAGTTCTCTGATGAGATGTCTGGACCCCAAGAGTATATTCTCTGAATTGGATTTGATAATTAAGGAGATGGAGAAGTGCCAGTCTGATCGAATGCCCTTTGTAACTGGGGCTGCTTTTGAAGCACTGCAAACAGCAAAAAGACTATGGGTTGAGAAAGGCTCGAAGCTTGAGAAGGATGTGGGATCAATCACTGGTTCAAATTTTGAAAAAAGAGAGAACATCAGGAGGAGGAATGTGGCCGGTTCCGGAGGACAATCGCCTCTCACTGCATCACCTGAATCACAAACTGTTGATTCTGCTTTTGAATATGATTATTTTATGGAATCGCCCATTTCAATGAATCAAGACCCTCAACTCGGGTCTCATGATCATAGGAGTGTGAACCGTAAACTTTGGCAAAGGCATGAGAATGGTGGCTTAGATGTATCTCTTAAAGATGGAATATTTTCAGAGATAATTCCAAGACGTGCCATTATAAACTCTGAGCATGGTGAATTTTCAGATAACCATGGAGATTATTCTGATATTTTTGCAGGGTTCGTGCCAGAAAGTGTGGAGAATGGATTTATTAGAAGCTCCGCTCCCAGTCCTCAGGTGAGTTTTTCATTTTCAACGGCTACTAAAATACTTGTTTGAATTAGATTTCATGGAGAACCTTAATTTGCTATAACATTTGAAAAATAGAAAAAGCATAGTCTCTGAAGCAAATTTAGCAAAAAATTTAAAGATATTTTATTTTAGGCTCTAGTGCAACTGTTTGTTTGAATTTTGAACAGTATGTCATGCATCCACCTTCCAGAAGTTACACACTTCTATTTAGCAAGAATGCAAATTCAATTGTTTGCATATTCTCTAGCATTTGGAATTACATTTAGATGGAAACTTTAGAACTATTCTAATAGTCTGATTTAATGCCTTCTTATAATGCACATATCACCTTTTTTCATGCTTCAGAGATCACGGTCTCACATCAATATTGATAGTGTGAAGATCTTTTCCACTCCAAGAAAGCTCATTCGTTCACTTCAGGATCCAAATGGCATGACCTCAGACTTCTCTGAGAAACAAACCAGAAGGTTTGGAAGTCCATTCTCGAGTAAATTTGAGTGGACTCCTACATCAAAGCATGTACAAGATGGCCATGCTCATGGCATGAACTGTTACATCGAAAAGGGCAAAAATTTCTCTCCCGATGGGGAACAGTTTCATGGTAAATCAGAATCGGTATCTTCAACAGAAGATGTGCTTCTTGATGCGGATTCACAAATGTCCCAAGAGGTAGTTTGTGGAAATCAAACTGGATATCAGAGTGCCAACATTCTAAAAGGTCAAAGAAAATCTGGTGGCGGCATCGTGGGATGTCTTCTTTTAGTTCTATTTGCAGTATTTTTATTTTTGTTGGTGTTTAATAATCAGGACAATAGCTCTGTTCTTGTTCCCACCTAAAATGACTTTGCTGAAGTTAATGATTTGATCAATTTCAAAAACCTTGGATCATAGTTTGAGATGCTACACACAAGATTTATGTACTTCAGAAATTTATATCATATTGACTTGAACTTGAGATATTCTGTTTGGTAGGATATTTGTTGTTCCAGTAGTCCAGTTTTTTCTCCCTATTGCAAAAGTTCTGTAGATTCTACCTATGTAAGAAAGCTAAAATTTCAAGATATTTGGTTCAAGTGTAAATTTTGCATCTAGATTTTTCTTATTTCTTCAATAGAAGATTCTACCTATTGTGTGTTTCGTGATGGTTGGTTGATACTTTTTTTCATGACGTACATTTGCTTTGTTAGTGAAGACTCAACATAGAACACAATGAATGATTGAAAACATTTTGCATCAAAATAATATAAAGAGTACCATCTTTAGGACTGTNGGCTGGTGGATGTTCATAATTAGGGCTGTCAATGGATTGAATTTTGAACAGAATTCGACGAAATTAATGAGAGATGGATTTATGGTGTCAGTCCGATAACCCGATCAAGATTCGGATCCGATAATTTGTTAACTTAATTGATCAAATATGGATATAAGTCAATTCAATCTAATTTGCTATAAATAATTGAGTCGGTAAAATATTTTTATGACATATTATTTGTCACTAAAATAAATAAATTTAGAATAAAAAAGTAATCAAATTCAAAACATAAAAAAGTTGAAAACATTATAATTATTAAACCTGTTTAAGAATTGGAAATTTTGAAGGAAAAAAAAGTTGATTTCAACCAATGTTATAAAACCTGATTCGGGCGTCGACTCGAAAAATGAAGATGGTCAAGGGCCAAATCGGTATCGAACCAGTTGTCAAATTGAATAAATAACTATACACATAAATGTAAAATATTATAAAATCAATAGATTTTTTTTTTAAATTTTAGNGAAATTCAATTTTACCTTATCCCACATCGAATGTCAATAGAAAATTAGAAGATGATCTCTCCTTTAAAAAGGAACATCATGATGGTAGAAGTCACTATTGGGCTTGCTAGTAAAAACGAGTGGGGCCGGGCCTCAAGTTAGTTCAAAATTGATTTTTTTTTCCTAATTTTTATTAATTTAGGATTAGATTATCGAATCGGATATCCGATAATATAGCAAATCGGATATGGATTTAATAATCAAATATCCGTTGGATTATCGGATCGGATCGGATATAAGTATATCTGATTCATATCCGATTCATTTACAGCTCTACCCACGGGCCTCTGCCCTGAACGGGAAGGGGATTACCCGTTTAATTGGGTATTCAACTTGGAGATGAAAAAGGTAACTTTGCCCCTGGGGAGGGTATGGGTAACCGATGCCATATCTTGCCCTGTTTAATTTTTTAAAATTTTTTTTTAGAATTCAATATTTTAAATGAAAAAATTCACGAAATTTCATTAATTCTAATAGAAAATGGCAACAAATATTATTTTTTTAAAAAATGATAAACAATAAAAGTCTTATTTTACCAAGTACGTTTGAATAATTTAATTTTTAAAAATAAATAAAGATTAAAAAAATATATTATTGTCTCACTTTAATGAATAAGGGCAATAAAGTGAATTATAAAAAACTTTTAAAAAAAAAATTAAACAGGATAGAAAACGAGGCGGGAAATTGCCTGGCGGGGCGGGAGAGATTGCCTCGACCCACCCCATTGTCATCCTTAACCATCTTGCTGGGGTATGATAGATTTGGAATGGCCTCTAATTTGTTTGCTCTAATTTTGCTTTGGCCTCTAATTTGTTTGCTCTTGGAATCCCGGTTGTAGATTGATGTTGAGAACTGTATTGGTATTAATAAGATTTAACCCTAAACTTGAATATCTTGTGGAAAATTATGTAGGATTCTCATAATATTTCCAAGCTGAAGACTTCATGGAACTTAAATGGAAGAGAAAAAACATGTTACATCCACACAAATTGAAAGAAATTACCCTCTTTTTTAAAAAAACAAAAAGAAAAACAAAAAACAAAATTGGACATGGAGAAGGCTATGCTTGCATTACAGAAATTGGGATTGTGTAGATGCTGTCCTCTCCATTCACTTAGTGAGTTTAAGCTTATGGGTTGTAGCAGGGCTGCTTGCCCTTGGCATATATAAGAATATTTGCTGTAGCATTTGTGTCTTGACCCAAGACTGAACATGTAAAGTTCATTGAACCCATCTCTTCTCACTACCACGGAGTTTCTCGTACCATGTTCGCTCAAAAGGGATAAGTGTTAAAGATAGTAAACGGTTCATTATAGATTGCATGTCAGGAAAATGTTAACACTTGGCTACATGTAGGTATATTCTTGATCATTTTTATATGCTATTTATATGAACAAATGGCTTTGCTACATATATAGGAGAGAGCAGCACGTCCAATTTCCTTGTAATATGTTTTCCTTATTGGGATTAAGGCAGTAAATCAATAAGAACGGGCAAAATTCTTCAGTGCGAGGTAGGAATTGAACAAGATAGTGAGGCACCACTGTGAGAATCCGAAGGGAAAATGTTAAAATTTGCTTACTCGGTCAATGTCCGTGAAGTTTCAAGGTTCATTGGTATAAATTGATCGTTTGATTTCTCGCAAGTGAACGCGATAGTGAACAAGTAATAAAGTAATGAATAGAGTGTTGAACTCACGAGAACTATGTGTTTGACCGAGTTAAAATTAATTGCAACTTTAATCGAATAACAAACAAATTTTGTGATTTTTTCTATATTAATCTCTAAATTATCAATTAAACTAGCGAAAGTAAGTAAATGTGTTTTTCAAATATGTGAGATCCATTATTGAGATGTCGAATTCTCTTTGTTATTCCATTTTTAGTGTAACAATTAAAATGACAATTTGAAATCATTCATATTGGTCAATGTTCCTAATTTAACTTGAAGTCTCTCTCGATGGCGATTAAATATATTCCCCTCATGTGGCCCTTCTACTCTCGATAAAAAATGCATACATTATAAATGTATTAACAAGTACTAGAATACATATTGAAATCATATAAAGTATAGATGTATATCTATATCATCTATCAAATCTTACAATGTTTATTATATTATGTTTAAACTTTATTGTCTCTCTCGATAACAATAAAATTCACTAATGATTCTATTGGTGATCAAACAATTGTAAAAAACTATAAAAAGATAATAAACATCTACAAATTAAAGTCAAAATAGTTAATTAAAAATATCATAATAAGGGTTCATCGCATTGCAGCAATATATAAAATTAGCATAACATATTGAAATTACAAGAAATCATATTTAAATAT